TTTTTTTTTTTTTTTTTTTTTTTTTTTTTTTTTTTTTTTTTTGAGACAGGGTCTCACTGTATAATGAAGGCTGGCCTTCAACTCCCGGAAATCCTCTTGCCTCAGCCTCCTGAGTGCTAGGATTACAGATGTGCACCACCATGCCTAGTGGTCTGGGTTTTTCAAACATATATTTCTCAGGAGATCCCAGGACTGGACCCTCAAGTTGCTTGAGAGGTATTAGCTGCCCCTGACGTAAAGTCATTGTGGCCCATGGATTTTTTTGGCGGGGAGAGAGATACTAGGGAAGGAAAAGCAGCTTTTTAACCTTTGTCAAGCAAGTGCATTAAGAACCAAACAAAACTATACTTATTGACCATATTTATTTCCCAAAGATCAATAATTTGAAAGCAAACAGGCAGGAAGGACATAATCTCCTAATAAAGGGCAATCTTTAGTAAGGACATCGAGTTATGGGAACATTGCATGGCTTGTCCCCCTGCCCCCCACTGGTTCTGGGGTTGAATCCAGGGCCTTCACACTAAGGTGCATCCCCGGCCCTTTTTATTTTGAGGCAGAGTCTCACTAAGTTGCCCAGGCTGGCCTTGAACTTGTGATCCTCCTGCCTCTGCTTCCCAGAGGTATGAGGCTCCAGAGATGCCCGTTTTCCTCTGGATAGGTGAGTGGGACAGAGTTCTTCTGGTTTCTCAGCCAGGACAGTGAGAGGAATCCCAGGGGCCATTGCTGAGGTCCAGATCTTCTCATTCACAGTTGGGGAAGCGGCAGCTGGAAGGTGGGCAGTGTGTCAAGAGGCAGGTTCGGGGTTAAGTCCGAGGCCTATGTTCAGACCCCTGTGTGGGCATTTAGCAGAGTGAACTGGGTGGGGGAGACTGCACTCATAGCTCATGGCTAAATCCCTCTCAGGAATCCTCTCTGCCCAGCTCCTCCCAAAAAGACTCACAGCTGGGCAGATGCTGCTTCCTTGGGGCTCTTTTTTTCTTTTCCCTTTTTTTGAGGCAGGATTTTGCTGTGTAGCCCAGGCTGACCTCAAACTCCTGGTGATCCTCCTGCCTCAGCCTCTTCAAGTGCTGGGATTACCAGAGTGTACCACCATTTCTGTTTCTGAGGACTCAGGCAAAGTTCGTGAAACCCACATAAGCTGAATCACACTGCTCCCTGCAGTAAGGCCAGAAAGGGGAATGGGTGATGACGACACCCTCGTGTGCTTTGTGCGTGGCTCTGTGTCTGGAGCAGCAGGGACACAGGTGGCAGGAATTGCCACTTTCATTTATGCTTCTCCTTTCTGCCTAGTTTAGAGGAAGCCGTACTAAATTTCTCTTAATTGTGTTTTGAGACAAGATTTTGCTAAGTTGCACAGGCTGGCCTTAAATTTGAAATCCTTCTGCCTCAGCCTCCCCAGTGGCTGGGATCATAGGCCTTCACCACCACACCTGGCTCCCCTTGAAACTGAAAATCTTCATTTCCTTGTTTTTCTTTTCCTTATGATTATATGAGTCATTGGCCTGAAGTTCATGGTTCATGTTTTACTTTGAGAAGAGCTATGTTCCGCAGAAATCCCTCACAGAACTCATTCTGTTACAGGGAAGTAACTCCCAGCCTGAAGAACAAGTACAGAGGCTAGGACAGAGGAAGTTAAGAGTAGGGAGTTTTATTGAGAGAAAGCCACCGAAGGGCAGGATGGGTCCCAGACAAGTGGCGTGGTGCTGAGGCTCTTGCTGGGCTTTTACCATTAAATCGTAATGCAGGTTTACCTTGGGTCAAGCTGTAGTCAGCCTACAGGATTCTGAGTTCACTTGGCTAATACTGACTTGGTAGAAAAACAGGGTAGTAGCCGGGCATGGTGGCACACGCCTGTAATCCCAGCACTCAGGAGGCTGAGGTAGGAGGATCGCTGTGAGTTCAAGACCAGCCTGGGCTACATAGTGAGTTCCAGGTCAGTCTCAGCTACATAGTGAGACCCTGTCTCAAAAAACCAAAAGAAAAGAAAAAAGAAAAACAGGGTAGTAGTCGGTGTATAGCAGTGGAAGGGGTAGAGGAGAGGGGCAGTGTTTTGGTCACCTGTCTCTTTGTTTTTTGTTGCCATGTGCTGTTACATTGTTTCTATGTGGTTGTTACACCAACTGAGTCACTGTTACCTTGTTTCTGTTAGAGCACAGTGTATCTGTGTTTGTTACATTGTTTCTTTGTGTTTGCCACCTTGTTTCTGTGTTTGTTACATTGTTTCTAGGCATTTGTTACCTTTCTCCTGCTTGTTGGACCAGCCGCTGAGAGCCCTTCAGCCCCCAGGCCTCGCCATCCTGCCTCTATCCTGTGGCCTAGTTTCTGGACCAGCCCTGGACCGCAGGCCCAGTTGGCCTCAGCTCTGTTCTAACTTAATCTCGGGCCGATCCTTTTCTAGCCACCAACCAGTCTCCAGTTTCGCTGTCTCCAGCAGTTTAAGTGCCAGGCTCTAGCCATGTGTTTTAGAATCTTGGTTCTGCTTTTTACTGTGTGGCCCAAGGCGGATGACTCCTCTCTGAGCCTTTGTCCCCACATCTGGAAAGTGAGGAAAATAAAGACCGTATCGTGAGGTCTCAGGAAGAACGGAGACAGAAAAGCGGATGTAGAGGGCATGGAGCACACGCCCAGGACTTGTCCTCCATCGGGGCCTCTGCGATGCCGCCTACAGGCTCGCTCTGCCGGCCCCGGCAGCATCCTTTGCTTTAGAACATTCAGAGCACAGGCTTTCTTTTTCACATTCCCTTTTCTTTCTACCTGGCAAACTCCTAATTAAACTTCAAAACCCAGAGCGGCTTTACCTCTTCTGGGAAATCTTCTCAGTTTCACTCTGGGCCTGAAGGCTGCTCTTCCTCATGTTCTGTCTGGCTCCCAGGAGTGCTCAGAAAAGGCTCTCTTGCCAAACGATGGGTGTGGGTCCTTTGAATCTTCTCTCAGGTGTCTTCCACGAAGAGCTGTCCTTGCCCTGGAGCTGTCTGGTGACTCTGCCCCACTTGCCCCAGCACAGCCCTGCCAAAGCCTCCAGGGTCTCTAAGTCTTTCTTTTGCCAGATTTTAATAATAAAAATTGCCTTTTAAAAAATATTTTTAGCCAGATGTGGTGGTGCCCACTTGTAATGCTAGCACTCTGGGAGGCTGAAGCAGGAAGATTGCAAGTTTGAAATCCTACCTGGGCAACTTAGTAATTTAGGGAGACCGCATCTCAAATTTAAAAGGGCTGGGGAAGGCCCTATATTTCTCCCTAGTGCTGCAAAAACAAGCAAACATAGTTGTGATTTTGCAACTGTCATCTTCATGGAGATGAGAAAGAATCACAGGAATCTTTCTGTTGTTTGGTTTTTTCTTCTGAGGTAGCATCTCTCTTTGTAGCCCAGGCCGGCCCAGAACTTGCAGTAATCCTTCTGTCTCAGCCAGGAATTATTTTAAATAATTGCAGCCTGGTGGTAGAGAGCTTGCCTGGTGTACCTGAGGCCCTGGATTCAGAGCCCACACACACACACACACACACACACACACACACACACAAAGGCAAAACAGAAAAACGGGAGTTTGTTCTTTGCACTCAGCCCCTCTGCTGTGACAGCTGAGGGCCTGCACACCGGCATTGCCAGGGTGCTGCTGAGAAAGCCATGCACCACCAGGTGCCCCTGTAATCTCGGCGCTGGGGAGGCTGAGGAGGAAGGATCCCAAGATCGAGTCCATCAGGGTAACGCGGTGAGACCCCGTCTCGCAATATGAAGGGCCGACAGTATAATGTGGCTCAGTGGTGTATCCCTGCGTTCCTTCCCTGGTACCACAGAAAGTGAAATCTGATCGAGTCACATGTGCGCGCTGACCCAGCAGTCCCTCTTTAAGAAGAAACTTAGTCCGCCGAGTGCACCAAGACAGGTGACAGGCAGGCAGGAAGCGTGGAGCTGCAGGTCTGACAGAGGCAGCTTCCCGAGGGCCCTGCACTGACCACGTCCCTTCTGTCCCCCAGGTGGGCCTTCCTGGAGCTTGGCACCAATGGCGACTACAATGACAGCCTGCAGGCCTATGCGGCTGGCGTGGTGGAGGCCTCCGTGTCAGAGGAGGTGAGGCCACGATGGGGCAATTAGGATCCAGCTGCTAAACAGTTCCCTGGGAGGGTTGTTTTATTTTATTTTGCTTTTGACACAAGGTATCATCATTACAACTCTCTGGTCTGGACTCAAGCTTACAATCCTCCTGCCTCAGCCTCCTGAGTGCAGAGAATACAGGTGTGTGCCACCACACCTGGCTCATGGTTCCTTTGATTTTAACTGAATGTATTTGAATCTCAAAATGACATATTGTTCTGCTTTGCTTGGTTTTGAGCTGTACAAAAATGATCCTGGTACTTGTCAAAGTTGGACATTATCTGACACAGGCAGGGCTGCAGGTGATGACCACCTCCTGTGCGGTGGGTCAGGTTGCAGACTGGAAAATAAGTGGGTGTGAAAGTGTGGAGTGTGGTCTGTGTGCCCCTCTCCTCTAGTACATGTCCCAGAGGTGACACAGGGACAGGACCAAGTATTTGAAGCAGCCCCAGAGCACCATGGGACTTGGGTGGAGCTCAGATGCAGGACACCAAGGGTGACTGAGATGGAGCAGGGAGAGGGGAGGAAAGTCTCTGGTGCAACCCCTTCCTGACCCATGCAGCGTCCTGGCCACCGGGCACTGGGTCAGACAGCTCCGGGGCCCTCGAGTGGGCAGACATTGGACTCGGGATGCCCAGCTGCGTCCCCACGCCTGGCCTGCTGGAGGACAGGGCTGTGTGGAGGAGGGGGTCTTAGTGGAGCCCTGGGGACGAGCAGGATTCACATGTGTCCTAGGGAGGTGGTGGCGGGCCTTGCTGACACACATGGCCCAGGAACATTTCAGGGGGGTGGGGGTGAGGCTGGAAGTCACCCCAACCTCTGCCCAGGAATCACATGTGCATATTGGCCTGGGTTCAAATCTCGGCCCTTCGATTCACTACCTGGGTGAAGCACTTGCCGTGTTGATCAGCTTCATGCCACTGTAACAAACACTCTGGAGAATTAACTTACAAGCAGCAAAGGTCACTCAGCCTGCAGTTCTGAAGTGGTCGATTTGGGCCACGTGGCAATGGTGAGGGTGTGTGGTGGGGGTGGCCTCGCTCCTGGCCTGGGGTCAGCTCTCTGTACCTCTGTGGGTGACCTGCAGCACAGGCTAAAGGTCTCTCCTCCTCCTCGCAGACCGCTCAGTGCCTCCGGAGGCCCCGTGGGGACCAGTGTCCCCCCCTGCTGGGTCAGCGGGCAGCCCTGCCCTCTGCTTCCCTGCTGTGGCCTCGCTGCTCAGAAACATTACTTATGAACTGGGAGGCTGAGGCAGGGGGATCACAAGATTGAGGCCGCTGTGGGCTACATAGTGAGATTTTATCTCAAAAAACAAAAACGAAATTTAAAAAATCAGAAACCATAGTCGTGCAACTGGCAAAATACAGGTAGATTGGCCCCCGTGGTACCAGGGAGGAGATGCAGGGTGGCATCGACACGGCTGCGGTGGCGGTGGAGACCTGGGTGGGGCTGCGCAGGTGGCGGCTGGTGGGGTGGGGACAGCGGGAGCCGCGCCTGAGCCCGGCCCCTCGCCCGCAGCTCATCTACATGCACTGGATGAACACCGTGGTGAACTATTGCGGCCCCTTCGAGTACGAGGTCAGCTACTGCGAGAGGCTCAAGAGCTTCCTGGAGGCCAACCTGGAGTGGATGCAGCAGGAGATGGAGCTGCACCCGGACTCCGCCTACTGGCACCAGGTGAGCCCGCAGCCCCGCCCCCACCTCCGCCCGCGTCTCCCCTGTCCTGTCAGGGGTAGGAACAGGGCACTCCTAGGATTCGGTTCCCCCGTGTACCGCGGAGACTGGCTGGCAGGGTGATCATAGGGGATGCAGGAGTTCAACTAAAACTCCCAGGAAGTTCTGTCCGGAATTGGGTGAGCTGCTCGTTGGCGGCAGCTAAGGGTCCAGGTCAGGCACTGTGCTCTTAGACTGCGGGCTTGGTCACCCGTGAACGCGTCAGTCTGTGGACCCCTTCTGCTGTGAGTTACCGGGACAGTTTGTCCCTGTAAAGTGCTGTGGGTGCCTGGCTGCACACCGCCTCCCTTAGGTGTGTCTGTGCCATTTCCCTTGTCTGGGCGGTTTCTGCTGGCCACGTCCCTGCTCGTACCCTCCCGGAACAGCTCTTCTAGCTACCCGTCCCCTCATCCTCCCCTGTCCGTCTGTCCACACACGCACCTATTTAGCCCACGCCCACCCGTCCATCTGTCGGTCCACCCATCTTTGTCCCTCTCTCCCATCCGTCCACCCGCCCGTCTCTCTGCGTGTTCTTCCATCCCTCCGTCTGTCTTGTGTGTGCTTACCGAGTTCTGGTGTGTGCCCGGCAGAGGCCGGTGTGCTGTGGAGGACAGGGGGACGGTACTCATGGTTTCAGGGTGTTGGCTGCGTGAGCCACAGCCCAGGCAGCGGTGTGCAGCCCCTGACCCCAGAGCAGGCAGCTGTGGCCGTGGACCTGGGGGCTATGAGGCTCCCTGGGAGGCGGCTTCGGAGCGGGGCTGTTCAGTGGGGTGATTGGGCCGGCAGCCTGCAGGCCCCGCAGTCATTCGTTGAAAGCAGGAAGGTGCTTGGCGCACAGGACCCAAGGCTGGCTGGGCTTCGGAGGGGCATTGGGCCTGCCCTGCTCGGGCCTGAGCCCTGCGTTCAGGGACAGGGTGACGCTCCCTCTGCCCTCACCTAGGTGCGGCTGACCCTCCTGCAGCTGAAGGGCCTGGAGGACAGCTACGAAGGCCGCTTGACCTTCCCCACTGGGAGGTTCTCCATCAAGCCTCTGGGGTTCCTGTAAGTGCCACCTGCTCACAGCCCTGCCCCTTCCGGCCCCGTGGCCTGTGCCGCAGCCCCGCCAAGCCCCTGCTGTGAAATGGGTGCAGAGCAGCAGGCCTGGTGACGCTGCCGTGCCCGGCCTCCCCAGACTGCTGCAGATCTCCGGTGACCTGATGGACCTCGAGCCAGCCCTGAACAGGACGAAGACCAGGGAAGCCCTGGGCTCCGGCTCCTGCTCCGCTCTCATCAAGCTGCTCCCCGGCCAGCAGGACCTGCTTGTGGCCCACAACACGTGGAACGCCTACCAGTACATGCTGCGCATCCTGAAGAAGTACCAGCTGCAGTTCCGGGAGGGCCCCGGAGGTGGGTGAGAAGCCCGCAGCCCCACTCCGGACACATGGGGTCACTCAAGAGCTGTTCCAGCAGCTCATCACTGGGGGGCCGGGGATGGAACCCTGGACCTGGTGCATGCTGGGTAAGTGCTCTGCCACTGAGCTCTACCCCCAGAACATGTACTGCTTTATGTGAGACATGGTCTCCCTCCTGGCTTTGAAACTGGGGTCCTCCTGTCTCGGCCTCCCAAGTATCTGAGATCACAGCATGTGCCGCTGCGCCTGCCTCATCTTGCCCTTATGATGTGTTTCCTTTCCATTTTTACTGTACAAGTTGCGTCAGTTACCCATTGCTCCATAACCAGGCACCCCATGATTTCAAACAGTTGCCATCTAGTTCTTGCTCCTGTATCTGGAGGAACTTTGCTTTTCTGGGCTAGATGTGGCTGAGTAGGGCTGGGTTCACTGATGTCCTTGTTGTGCCCTGGGCCGAGCTGGCTGGTCGGATCTTGAGGCAGGAGGATAACTTACATCCAAGGCCAGCCAGGGCTACATAGTGAGATCCTTGAATGTGTGGTGATCCTCCTGCCTCAGCCTCCCGAGTGCGGGGATTACAGGTGTGTGCTCCTGCACCAGACTTGGCCAAACTTTAAAACTTGGTGCTGCTGGAGGTGGTAGGATGGCGGGAAAGGGTCCACCCTGTCCCCCAACCATGGGAGGACACATTGGCAGCACTGCTTTTAAGAGGAATGTGGCAGGCATCAGGTAAAGTTCAGAACACATTGCTCCGATGTTCTGATTCAGGGCTAGAGAAACATCTCAGTTTCTGTCCAGGAGAGGACGGGAGGCCATCATGGCAAAGGTGGCGTGGAGACAGCCCCGTGGCCATGAATTTACGTCTCGGCCAGCTTCTGGGAAAGTGACACATTCTGCGCGCGCGTGCAGCTTCTGTGTGACTCCAGGCGAGACCCAAGCGTCCGGCCCATCCTGTGTGTGGCTGCAGCTCCCTCCTGCCTGCTCGCTGGGTGTTACGTGTGTGCGTGTGTCCTGGTACTGAGCGGGTCATCAGCCCCTGGCTACACCCCCAGCCCTCTTACATTCTGTTTATAAACATGTTGCATTTGGTGGCTCACATCCATAATCCCATTGATCTGGGAGGCTGAGGCAGGAGGATCACAAGTTCCAGCCCAGACTGGGCAACTTGGAAACTTACTGAGACCCTGTCTCAAAATTTAAAATAAATAAATTTAGCCAGGGATTTAGCTCAATGACACTGCTCCTGCCTTGCAAGCATAAGGTCCTGAGTTCAATCCCCGGTAGCAATAAATAAATAAATACATTTTACAAAAGGACTAGGGATGTAACTCAGCGTGAAGGCCCTGGGTTTGATCCCCATTAGCACAAAGAAAAAAAAAAACACCTCCCTTTGATTTTCCATTGTTGTAAGTTGCCTTTGTTATGTGATTGATGTGCGGATTGGTGCTGACCCTGGAGTTTGGGATGGATCTTATGTATGTATCTTTCCCTCCTCCCTCGGGTACTAAGGCGTACATTTAGGGCCTCTGCACTGAGCTACATCCCTTTTTAATCTATTTTGTGACAGGGTCTTGCTAAGTCACTAAGTCTTGCAATCCTCCTACCTCAGCTTCCCCAAATGCTGGGATTATTGGATGTGTGATCACACTATGTGCATGTGTCTTTTAATAAATGGCTCCTCTGTTTAAGGAGAGTCCTAGGTTTGCAAATATATTGGGTATTTAGATACTCAGAGTTCCCGCATCCCTGCCCTGCTTCTTCGCCCTGTTACTGTAACATCTCTCAGGCAGGTTTGTTACAAGAGAGGAACTAATGTGGCTGTCGTTCACACTGGGCCTCCCTCCATGCGTGCAGTTTTATGTCTTTGTTTTATTTCATGTTATTTTACAGTGCTGGGGCTGGAACCCGGGGCCGCTCATGCTAGGCCAGGGCTCTACCCTGAGCCACACCCTGCGGGCTGCTCCATGTTTTCTGTCAGGCGGCCTCATCTGCTAATGAGAGAGGGAGCCAGTGCGGGCCTCTTCCCACCTCGAGCCCGAAGTCCTGCTGGGCAGGGTGCAGGGGTCCCCGGCCTCCCTGACTGCACCCGCGTCTGTGCCCACAGAGAACCACACCCTGGCTCCAGGCAACAAGCTGGTCTTCTCATCCTACCCGGGCACCATCTTCTCCGCCGATGACTTCTACGTCCTGGGCAGCGGGCTGGTGAGTCACTCCCGCCAGGGCTCTGGGAGCTGTGGAAGGTCACTTGGCCTACGGGGACTGGTGCAGGTGCCTATAGGAGCTGGGGCCACAGTGGAGAGTAAGGTGGTACAGCCGCCCGCCCCAGGCCTGGGCCCCTGTGGGCCCCCAACCCCCCATCTGGCTCAGGGCTTCAGTGCTGGAACCACTGGGACCTCAGGAAACGCCCTTGAGTGTGGTGACCTCATTTTGCTTTGCTTTTTTCATTTTTTTTTTTTTTTGACAGTCTCACTACATAGTTCAGGCTGGCCTTGAATTCCCTAGGTAGGCCTGGCTGGTTTCAAACTCATGGCCACCCTTCTGCCTCTGCCTCCTGAATGCTGGGACTACAGGCGAGCACACACTTGCAGCTCAGTTTGTTCCTCTGTGCTGAGGATAAACCATCCTCCACCTCCCATGCCCTGTCCACCCATGACCTTGTTCCTGCTTCCCCCAAACTCCCACTCGGTAGGGCTTCTGTACAGTGGCTGTCCCCCCGTGTCCTGTTTTTCCTGGCTGGCGTCCAGACTCGCTTGGAAATCTGTTCCTGGCACCCTCACCACTGAGGCTGGTACCTTTCATCGCCTGGGCGACACTGCCGGGAGACAGAGCGGGCTTCATACAGTGCCCTGGGCACACAGGATGTGGGCCCTGGGGATAGGAGCGGACGCTCTGTCACCCTCTCTCTTCCTTTTGTCCCCCCGTCCCAGCCCAGGGAGGGGCGACAGGACCGGTGCCACCCAGTCCCTGGGGAGCCAGGCCAGAGCTTGCTTCCAGCCAGGTCTTTCATGTTTTCGTGCCTCTGTCAGCCCCTCCAAGATTTAGGGTTGTTTCTCAGAGCTGGGGGTTGAACCCAGGGCCTTCACAGTCAGCTCCAACCACTGCCTGTCTTAGATGTTTGACTTTTGAGCCAGGATCTTGCTAAATCACAAAGGTGCCCCCGTCTCCAGAGTGCATGGGGCTCAGGCATGCACCGTGTCCAGCTGGACTTAGACTCTGAAACTCATAGCTAAAACCCGCAGCATTGCAAGGGAATAGCCACACTGAGGCAGGTCACTCGGAAGCCATGTGAGGAGACGGAACGTGACTGGGCCTCTGTGCTGCTTCCATACGAACATGGGGCAGCAAGGCCCTGCAGCAGAGGTGGGCACCGTGCAGTGGAAGCAGCAGGAGCTGGCGCAGTGCTCAGAGTGCAGCGGGTGCCGCCCGGGCCCTGTGACGGGCGTGGGTCTCAGGCGGGCACAGCCTGGCTGTGAGCAGTGGGAGGGGTGGATGGGATGCTTTTCCATCAAGCCTGCAGCGCCCCTGAGTCCCACCTGGTGCAGTCTGCCTGGCCTGGAGGGCACATGGCCTGCACCTGGCCATGGTTCTGGATGGTGGAAGGAGCTGGGTGAGGGGCAAGGTGGGGACAGGAGTCGGGGAGTGGACGTTGCTAGTGGGTGCACTTCCCTTGAAGATGTCCTTTTTCCTATATAAATAAAAAATCTTACGTACAGAAATCACACCGCGAGCCAGGTGTGGTGGTGCACACCTGTAACCCTTGTACTCAGGAGGCTGAGGCAGGGGCATCACGGCAAGTTCAAGGGCAGCTTGGGCTACATAGCAAGGCTCTGTCTCAGGAAACCAAAGCTAAACCAAACCGAACCAAACACAAAAAAACCACATTGTGAGTTCTGCTGTTCTTTGGCTGTTTTCAGCTTTTGGGATTTTGTCTGTTTTGTGGCATTGGGGACTCATGCAGAGCTCATCCCCAGCCCCCTTGTTTGTTATTTTCTACAACCTGTGTGGTCAGGCTGATGGGCCTCTGCAGGTGTTCAGTGTCCCCTGGGGAATTTTCTCTGGGCTGGGGATGGAGCTCAGTGGTGCCGCACCTTCCTGGTAAGCACAAGGTCCTGAGTTTGATTCCCCCTACCAAAGTGGGAAAAAAAAATAGCTACCTCTGCTTTTGGGCCAGGGATTTAGCTCAGTGGTTCTGCTGCCTGCCTTGCAAGCACAAGGTCCAGAGTTCAATCCCTGGTACAAAAACAAACAAACAAAACCCCACAAAAACCCCCCAAAACCAAACCAAAACAAAAAGTACAGGGTGAATTCGTACTCAGAGCCCCTCTACCACCTTATTCCACCGAGAGACCATCAAGGTCAATCAAGGTCAACAGAACCCTCCTGGCTTTTGACAGGCGTCTGTGAAGAACCAGAGGAGGCCTTGTTTAGAAAATGCAGTGAGTCCCAGGAGAGAGTGGAGGAGGGGATGGAGCTGGGGACAGCAGTGTCTGGAGCCAGCAGATGTGGGCACAGGCCCAGCCCGTCCTGCATCCAGGTCCCTTGGCCATGGAGCCCTGCTCTCAGGCCCCAGCTCTCCCTTTGAAATTTGGGGCAAGATGGGAATGGGTGGGTAGGCGCTGGATCTCGGGGAGACTGACTGACTTGGGGAGTCCCCAGGAGCAGCGTGCTGGGCTCCCTCGGGGCCTGCTCCCCAGGAGAAGCTGGGCACACAGCCATGAGTGCCTCCTGTGCCCGCCCAGGGACCGAGAGGAGCAGCTGCCTGAGCTTGGAGCCTTGAGACAGGAAAAAGCTCTGTAGCCCAGGCTGGCCTCAAACTCATGGCGATCCTCCTGCCTCAGCCTCCTCAGTGCTGGGATTATAGGCGTGCACCACCAGGTCTAGTTTAGGATGTGAGGTTTTAAGAAAGAGCACCCACTTTAGAGCCACTTGGGGGCAGCATGACTGGGAGGTGCAGCCCTGGCCTCGCCCCCACAGGTCACCCTGGAGACCACCATCGGCAACAGGAACCCAGCCTTGTGGAAGTACGTGCAGCCCGAGGGCTGCGTGCTCGAGTGGGTGCGCAACACTGTGGCCAACCGCCTGGCCGTGGACGGGGCCAGCTGGGCAGATGTCTTCAAGAGGTTCAACAGTGGCACGTGAGTGGCTCCAGCCCTGCGGGCTCCCCCTGCACACTGAGGCCCCAGGGGACCCGATGGCGTCTGCAGAGCCCCTCCCTCTTCACTGGATGGGTGGGAGTCCTAGAGCCCCTCCTTGGTCTGTGAGTGAGAAACAGGCTCAGGAAGAAGGGTTTGCCCTATCCCACACAGGCTCCTCAGCACAGAGGGGCCCCTGAGGAGGGCAGGACAGGCATGCAGAATTTAAGGCTCTGGGGACAGTGGCGGGGCATGGAGGAGGTCAGAGGTGTGTGGTGGACCTGGAACAGACACAGTAGAGCTGATCCTCAGGCAGTGGAATTGAGCTTTGTTCTGAACAGCACTAGGGAGCCATAGAATGTTCTAGAAAAGGCAAACAGCATGAAGTAAGAGGGGTGTATGGATCCCTGGTGAAGCTGCCTCCTCAGAGTGAGGACTGCCTGGCCAGACACTCACAGGCTGTCACTGTGGGTGACTCCTGGCTGTGTGGGGCGCTGGGGGCGGGAAGCTGGGGCAGGGCCCGGGCGCTGTTCAGACTCCTGCCTTGGACACGGCAGGTATAACAACCAGTGGATGATCGTGGACTACAAGGTGTTCATCCCCAGCGGGCCCCGCCTGGACAGTGGGGTGCTTACCATCCTGGAGCAGATCCCGTGAGTCCCTGGGAGCAGGGGTGGGTGGAGGGGCACCAGGAAGGACGCTGGGAGGGGAAGCCGGGAGGGGCTGGGTTCGGGGGCCGTGGGGGCCGCCTTCTGACCCGACTGCATGCCCATCTCTCCCGGGTGGCAGGGGCATGGTGGTGGTGGCTGACAAGACTGCAGAGCTCTACGAGAAGACCTACTGGGCCAGCTATAACATCCCGTACGTGCCCTTCCGCCACCTGCCGTGGCCCCGGGATGGTCCTTCCTGCTTGAGCAAGGCAGGGACCCTGCCTCAGAGCCACACTCCAGCCCTGGCCCCGAAGTCCTGGCCCCCAGTGTACAGCGGCATGGGAGGGCTGTGCCCTCGGTCTTTGCTGTGCCCACCCTGGCCTGGCACTCAGACTTTACCCGGGCTGCGTCCTGGGTCCCTGCAACCCCACGCGGAGAGCCGCAGTCTGTGTCCCCTTTCACGGATGCCAGACAGCTCTGAGAATGGGTCAGCTGTCCCCCAAGTCACCCCCACACCAAACACAAGACATCGTCATCACCGCCCCACCTGTGTGGCTGTTAGTGACAGCGTTGTGGACCTCAGCCATGGCGGGTGACTCGGGGTGACCGCCCTGTCCCCGCAGGTCCTTCGAGTCTGTGTTCAACGCCAGCGGGCTGCAGGCCCTGGTGGCCCAGTACGGGGACTGGTTTTCCTACAGCAAGAGTCCCCGCGCCCAGATCTTTCTGCGGAACCAGTCGCTGGTGCACGACCTGGACTCCATGGTGCGGCTGATGAGGTGGGGGCTGCCGCTGCCTCGCCCCAGCCACACATCAGCCTCTGGGTAGTGGGAGGTGCTGGGCACCCTGCGGCACCGCCCTGTGCAGTCGCGAGCCTGGCGCACGAGAAGCAGGCGCCAGACCTGCCGGCCGCCATCCTTGGGAGCACGGTGTCGTGGCTGGTGGGGTACAGGTGTGGCGGGAGAGCCATGCATCCCACGGGACCAAGTGGCCTCGCCTGGCACGGGTGGGGGACCAAGGGCTTCTCTGGGCCGTGCGGATCTGCGAGCTGAAGGCCGGACGGGGTGTGGTAAAGACGGCCAAGGTCAGGGCCACGGAGCTGCCGCCGTGTGCGGCCTTTCCCACGGAGGCTGCTGTTGGCCCCTTCCTGTCTCCAGGTACAACGACTACCTCCATGACCCCCTGTCACGGTGCGCAGCCTGTGACCCGCAGCCCAACGGGGAAAACGCCATTTCCGCCCGCTCCGACCTCAACCCGGCCGACGGCTCCTACCCCTTCCCGGCGCTGCGCCAGCGCTCACACGGAGGCATCGACGTGAAGGTGCCTCCCCCACCCCCAGCCCGAGCGGGTGCGCTGGGTCGGGTGAAGTGGGGCCCTGGGGTCCAGCCACTGCTCTCCTGCCCCAGGTGACCAGCAGGTCGCTGGCCGCGGCGATGAGCCTGCTGGCCGTCAGCGGCCCCACGTGGGACCAGGTGCCCCCGTTCCAGTGGAGCACCTCGCCCTTCCGCGACACGCTACACATGGGCCACCCCGACCTCTGGAAGTTCGCGCCCGTCTGGGTATCGTGGGACTGAGGCGCCGTGGCTGTCGCTGCTGCCTTGTCTGTGGAGCCAGGCAGGGCCCTCACAGCCCGTCACGGCTGGGTGTCTGTGGTGGCGGACTACTCAGCCCCTTGCGCTGTGCAGTCTCTGCTCCTCTGGCCTGTGTCCCCTCCCTGAGGGCAAAGTGGAAGACAAAGGGAAACCAGAGCTCCTCTCCTGCAGGACTGGTGGAGTGTCGGGAGTGTCGCCTGTCACTCCTGCCTCAGCCGGCCCTTTGTAGGATCCCATCGTGGACTGCGCCACCATTAAACATGACAGGCTGTGGCCCCGAGTGTGTTTCTTGGGAGGTGGGAGCCTGGGTGGTGCTGCTGTCCTTAGGGGTGGGCTCTGGTTGTCTGCCATGTGTCCTGTCCGTACTCCTGCCTGTGTGTCTGTCTGCTGTCCCGCTCACCCGCTGTCTGCCTTTGTGGTCACCCATCCACTGTTTACCCATCCATCATCCGTTTGCTTTCTGCTCGTCCATCTGTCCACTCATCCATACCTGTGTCTGCCTGTCCATCCCAGCTGCTTATTGAGCACCTACTATGTTCCTGGTCTTATTCTGGGGTCCTGTGAACCACCTGGACCTTCCTCAGCCCCACTGCGGGTGCAGACCAACAGGGTCCCTCCCCACCTGGCCTTGGGGACAGAATCCCCACACCCTGTGCTCAGTGGGCAGAGAGCACGCAGCCCTGGAGAGAGCCAGCCTCTGCCTCTCTCTAGCCATGGACACTTCCTCTGAGCCTCAGTTACCTCATCTGTAGGCTGGAGTACGACCGTGAGATGCGGTCCCTGGGCGCAGGCGTGCTGAGGGCTCCACGCAGCAGCCTCACGCAGCCCTCACGGGGCCTCAGCACCGACCTTCACCCATCAGTGTGTCCTCGGGAGGCGCGCAGTCCCTGCTGTGGGAAGGGACCCTGGGGAGCCAGTGCTCATGGTCAGGACACGCAGGTGTGTAAGACATGCATGAGTGCTCCGGAGAAGATCAAGGCTAGGATTTGTTGTTTCCCCTCGCTACTCAGTTTGTGGCGTGTGTGCCAACTTCTGTGAAGTTTTCATTTTCTTCCTCCCTCTCCCTCTCCCCCTCCCCCACCCAGGCTGGCCTGGAACTCACTATGTAACCCAAGATGGTCTCCAAACTCACAGCGATCCTCCTGCCTCAGCCTCCCAAGTGCTGGAATCACAGGCGTGCACCACCACACCTAGGACTATAGTGAAAGTTTAAATGAGGAAAGTGTAACAGTGAAATACTGCCAGGAATCCCCTTCAAAATACTTCCTCTTGCTTAGAGCACACCTTGCCCGTGGTTTTTGTGGATCTGAGACTTCTGTATCGTGAGTGCTCTTAGTTGTGTTCTCACGGCTGCGTCAGTGTCCTGAATTGATTTCGTTTTCCACTCATGGCCATTTTGGTTTAGGGAAGAGTAGAGGTCATGTGGTGCCAGCCCCATAGTGAGGTGAGGAGGTTGTGTTGTAATGCCTTTATCTGACAGAAATCGCCATAAACGTTTGATCAGTGAAGGGTGACCAAAAATATGCTGAATGTACTTAAATAAAAATATGTATTACAGTAAAAGACACATTGCCTTGATTTCCCCTGAAAATACATCCACTGGCTTTAAACATTTATCTTAACATCATTCTTGGCAATGTGTCTTTTATTGGAATTTAAAAAAATTTAAACATGCACTGTGTATTTTGTGTATATCTCTTTTACACATCTCTGTTACATGGGAACTGACAAAAGGAGATTTTAACCTTTTTTTTTGGAGACACAGTCTCACTATGTAGCCCAGGCTGTCCTTGAACTCACAGTGATTCTCCTGCCTCAACCTCCTGAGTGCTGGATTACAGGTGTATGCCACTACACCTGACAATTTTTTTAATTTTAAAAACTTTTATTAGTAGTTTGTTGTACATAATAATTACATTAATTACATACATTGTGGGGCACTAACATGGAGTTTTAAAAACTTCCTTCCAGCCCTGCCTCAGCATTTCTGAGAAGTTTGGGAGAAGAGGCTCCCTCTTCCCCAAGTCAGCCCAGCATGTGTGTGTGTGCGTGTATGTGAGCACGTGTGCGTGTGTGTGTGTGCATGTGCAGTACTAGTGATAGCACCAGGGCCTTGCTCTTGCTAGGCAAGCAGTCTACCAATGAACCATCCCCAGCCCCTCTTTTATTTTGAAACAGGATCTTGACAAGTTACCCAGGCTGGGTTCAAACTTGCCATCCTCCTGCTTCAGCCTCCTGAGTAGCTGGGATTAGAAGCATGCACCACCGTGCCCACCTTCTCCCATGTTTTACACACGGACTTCATTGGGAAAGAGGGGTCCATGTTTCAAGCAGGCTTTTGTGACACTTCACCCACGCCATCCTGTCTCAGGGACGGGCATGCCCTCCGGATGCAGTTCTGTGGATCAGACCAAGAGTGGCCTGGTCTCCCTCCCCCGCCCCAAGGTGGCTTTGCCTCCAGTGCAGGTGACCTGTGTCCCACCCTGGTCTCGTGCCTCCACTGCACTGGCTGGCACCCTCGCTCCCTAGGTCTGCAGCACTGTGTGTGGGATGTCGGCTCCTTCTGAAGGCTGGTGCCGAGCAGCTACGGTGGGTGCAGAGGGCATGGAGGAAGACGTGGTGCCGGAAGAACTCCAAGGGTCTTTGTTTCAAAAACATATTTTTTTCTTTCTCAGTGAAAAAGTGCATATTAGAAAAAAACGAGTCAGGGTGGAGCTGGGCTTCCTGGAGAAAGGATAAGACAGGTCCAACCCGGGACGGGAAACGCCCAGGGCAGGGCCACCTTGCCTGGGGGACCCTTATACCACCCTGCTCTGGGGGAATCTGATGTGTTACTTGTGACCAAGGACGCCCACGGAGCGGTCGCACGGTTCCCGAGAGTTCACGTTCGCAGTCTCGCTGGTGACAAGCTAAGGGGCCGCCGGGGACAGGCGCGCCCGACTCCAGTCCTGTTCACCGCGAGGGCCCAGGGACGGGTCCTCCACTGGGCAGCCCGTTCATGCCCAGCTGTTCTTTGAGCGCCCGCAGCTGGGCCAGGCTGATGTTGCTGCCCCCGCAGACGATGACCACGAGGGAGGGCAGGGGGGCCCGCAGCTTGCCCTCGCCCTGCAGCCTCCTGACCACCTGGCTGTAGACTGCGGCCAGCGCCGCCCCACACGCGGGCTCCACCAAGATCTTCTCGTCGTCTGCAGGGAAGGGGCGGGGCGAGGGGAGCGTCAGGCCATGGGAGGAGCTGGCGTCCAGAGCCAATCAGCTCTCAGCTCTTGCCAGGCTCAGTTCCTGGACCAAAGCCCCTTCCTGATTCTTCAAGCCAAGCCAGGCTGAACGCTGATGGACACAAACGGCTGTGGTCATTGGAGGACGGCGTTAGGAAGGATTCTGTGGCGTGAGCCGTGCACCAGTGGCAGGACTGATTAGCCAAGTCTGCTGCAGGGTCAAAGGAATTGCACGGTTGCCTAACTACTACCATCCCTCTTCTTCGAGGTACCGGGGATTGACCCCAGGGCCACTGAACTACATCCTCAGCCCCCCATTTACACTTTTTGAGACAGGTCTCACTATGTAGCCCAGGTTGTCTTGGACTTGCAGCAATCCTCCTGCCTCAGCCTCTGGAGGGCTGGGATCACAGGCATGGGCCACCACACCTAGCTCCCCAGACCTTTTTTATTATTTTTTTTGGGGGGGGGTACCGGGGATCGAACTTATGACCTTGTGTTTGCGAGGCAGGTAGGGTGCCACTGAGCTAAATCCATGGCCCATTATTATTATTGTTGTTATTATTATTTATTGGAGCCGGGCGTGGTGGCGCACGTCTGTAATCCCAGCACTCAGGAGACTGAGGCAGGAGGATCACTGTGAGTTCGAGACCAGCCTGGGCTACATAGTGAGTTCCAGGTCAGTCTCAACTACATAGTGAGACCCTGTCTCAAAAAACCAAACCAACCAAACAAACAGAAAACCCCCCAAATCCAAAAATTATTATTTTTTGGCACCGGGGGTTGAACTTGGGTCTTGGCACTTGTGAGGCAGGTGGCGGCACCACTGAGCTAAATCCCCGGCCCCCTTTATTATTCTTTTATACATTTTGAAACAGGGTCTCACTAAGTTTGTAGTTACCCAGGCTGGGCTTGAACTTTTGACCTTCTCCCCCCAGCCTTCCAGAGTGCTGGGATTATAGGTGTGTTCCCCTCCCCTCTCTCTCCCTCCTCTCTCCACTTGCTAACCCTGTCTTAGCCTGAACTCAAAAAGAGTCCAGTTATAGTAGCACCTCCAAATCCAACTCTGTGGCCCATCCTTTGCTTTTTTATCCTGGCTACCAGAAAGCTCAGAATCATTTTTAAACATTCAGTTATTGTTCCCTGCTGTCATAGTTACCAGGCTCCCTTTCCTCCCCTCTCTCTCCCTCCTCTCTCCACTTGCTAACCCTGTCTTAGCCTGAACTCAAAAAGAGTCCAGTTATAGTAGCACCTCCAAATCCAACTCTGTGGCCCATCCTTTGCTTTTTTATCCTGGCTACCAGAAAGCTCAGAATCATTTTTAAACATTCAGTTATTGTTCCCTGCTGTCATAGTTACCAGGCTCCCTTTTTCCTGAGTGGCTTCAGCATTTCTAGTTTCACCATGGTGGCGCTGTATTATCCCCCCTTAATGGGATGTATCCGAATGGAAAATCTGAGGCAGTAGGATCCTGTGGTACTTGGGGGGCAGCCATAGTCCCCGGAGTGGTGGGCCAGGGCTTGGGGACTCAGCACACACCTGCAAATTTCTCAATGGCGGCCACGGCCTCCTGGTCAGAGATAACCTCAGAAAAGATGGGGTGTTCTTGAAAGAGCTCCAGGGCTTGGGCACTCACTGTGTTCACACCCAGGGCCTTGGCAATGCTAGAGAGGGAGGGAAGAGACAGAAAGGACTCCTGTGACTCTGAGGCCTACTCTGGCAGCCATGTTAATGCTCCCTGGCCTCCCAGGGTGGCACTAGTCCTGTTCCTGGCTCATCTACTTAAGGAGGCCCTGAACATGTGGAAGGCCTGGCACACCTTGGTCCTTAGACAGCCTGTGGCTCACAACAGGTGCTCAGTAATGGCTTCCTCTGTCCCAACTGTGAGGGTGTGAGGTCAGCACAGCATAGCAGCCTCCAGGTGCTGGGCTCAGAAACCTAAATGTTCCTATCCGGATTCAGTCTTCCCTATCTGTGGCAGGGACATTCTAGCCACAGATGGGCATGCCTGGTAGACACACTTCCTAGCATCCCTTGCAACTAGGTATGGTCATGTGATTGGGTTCTAGCCAATGAGAGACAAGAAGTACAGTCTCTGATTTAGATCGGTTTATCTGCCATTTAGCACCTTTATAATGGCGTGAAAGTGATATGAATTCAGTAGAAACTGTACTTCCAATTTTGAATTTGGACCTTTTCCCAGGCTATCAATTTGTGATATAATTCTCTTGCAATGCTGGAGAGCAGCAGTCAGCTATATGATCACAAATGGAAGTAACCAACTTCCAACAAATAGAAGTATCAACTATGTTGATAAGTGAGTTTTGGTGTATTTAGGTCATTCTTGACTTTATGAAAGATAGGTTTATCAGGATGCAACCACATTATAAGTCAAAGAGTAGCTTTGTTGTGTCTCTCTTTAAAGCTTGGGACATAGCCTTCTACCTCTTGCTTCCTCTTTCCTGACAGATGGAGTGTGGATGTGGTAGTTGGCACTCCAGCAGCCATTGTGGGGTATAAGGATGGTAAGGCAACAAGTTGAAGGAATCTGGGTCCCTGACTTCCTGGAGTTGCCCATTTCTAGACTTTCCCAGAAAACAGAAATGAAGTTCAGTCATGTTTTGAGCTCCTGTCTGATGTGGTCCAAACCTAATTCTAAGGTTTGGGGCTGGGATTGGAGCTCCTTGGGAACGAGAGCTCTTTATATACCGGTCTCTCTCCAGTACCAGCTCCCTGGCCTCAGTTTTCTCCCGTGAATGGGCCTCCTCTCCCACGTTCTCACCTGGTGATCTTTGGCAGGGTCACAAGCTTGCCCGCGGTGGTGGCGGCGTGGAAGCTGTGGGCGCCGATGGTCTCCATGGCAACGACAGGCACGTCCCCCCAGCCCACCTCCTTCAGGCCCTGGACCACACCGCACAGCAGGCCCCCGCCGCCTACCGACAGCACGATGGCTCCCGGCTTTGCGATCAGCCCCTCCTTCAGCTCTCTCACCACCGACATGTGGCCCTCCCTGGAGGGCGAAGGGTGGTGGCAGCTCAGGACTGGGTTCCCCGTACACCAGGCCGGAGTCCCAGGAGTGGCAGTTTAGCTAGGGCAGCCCGAGCACACATGCCGTCGGCCAGCAGATGGCGCTAGCGAGAGCTGCCCCAGGCAGGGACCCGTGGGGGGGGCGCTGCATCCGCCACTGCGCGGCCCGCTCTGCACCGGGTGGGGATCCCCAGACCCTGAGCTGTAGCTTCCCACATCAGTCACTTGCCCCCGAGTGCCCCTTCAATGCCCCCCCCCACACTGAGTCACCTCCCAGTCTGCTGTCCTGAGTCTGGGCCTGGGGACGGGGCTGCTGACACCTGTGTGTGCATCCTGCGCCCCTCCTCGGTGGCGGAGGGGGTGGGCCTGGGCTCCACTTACCAGATGAGGGGGTCATCGAAGGGGGTCACGTACACCCAGCCTGGGTTGTTCTTGGCCAGCGCCTTGGCCAGTGCGAAGGCTTCGTCCAGCGTCTGCAGGGTCACAGGAGCGACAGGGTGAGGCCGTGGGGGCCCCTGTGCCTGCCAGCAGCCCTCTCTGCCCCTGCCCGGGCCGGCACATACCTCGCCCACCACCGTGACCATGGCGCCTTCATCCTTCAGCCGCTGGATGGTGAGGGCAGGTGTGGTGCTGGGCACCACGATGGTGGCGGGGATGCCCAGCTTCCTGGCCGCATAGGCGGCGGCCAGGCCTGCGTTGCCCGCTGTCAGGGAGGAGGGAAAGTTGTGTCTGCACCAGAGCTCCGGCTGCCTCCACACCCACCCCCGGGCAGCCCGAGGTGACCGCAGGCCACCTCAGAACTCAGATCTGGGCCTGCTGCAAAATGTGCTCAGCAGCTCATTGAGGGGAGCGGGGGACAAGACCCGCAGGGTGTGGGCTGCCCAGGACATAGCTGGGGACAGGCAGGGAAGCGGCCACTCACCCGAGGAGCAGATGAAATGCTCACAGCCCCGCTCAGCCCACTGCGGAGAGAGGGACAAGGGTCAGGCCGAACGCCCGCCACTCCCGGCTCCTCCTGCTCTTCCCTCCCTCCTTCTTGGGAGTTGGCACCGCCCTGGTCCCCCACTGTTCTCCTCCCTCTTATACAGCTTGGGCCGGTGACCTGGTTCTGGGACCAGCGATGGGGACCTTATGGACCAGCACCTCTGGCCATCAGGGTCCCGGGACCTCCCTGTGCTCCTGAGGGACACAGCACCAGCCACACCACCCCAGGGGCTGGGGCCCTGTCCCTACCGTCTTGCAGAGGTGTCCAATGCCCCGGATCTTGAAGGAGCCAGAGGGCTGGACATTGTCCATCTTGAGGTAGACACTGGTGCCGGCCACTTTGGACAAGGCCATGCTGTCCCGGAGGGGAGTCCTCACGTGCAGGGGCTCCCCGGACGCCATTGCTGAGAGAAGGAGGCCCAGAGGGTCAGGGCAGGGCCTGGGTGCCGGCAGCAGGTACCAGGGAGCAGTGCAGCCCTTTGCCCACAGCCCAGGAGACAGAGAAGGGTCCTGGAGAGCTGGCTGCATAGGACATGGTGGCTTGGACGGGCGGCCTAGGCTCTGCCACAGCTCCTCGCCTGTCAATCAGGGACCAGCATCACCCCACTGCTGCACCAGGAGCACCCCCCCAACAGTGGTGCTTGTGAGGACAAAGCAAGGGTAGGGTATAGTTGTCGCTTACTATGCAAACAGTGCAGGAAGCCCTCACAGGTATGCACAAATTCACACTCACACCCACACGCTCCTGCAGGGGACACTCATGAGAAAAGTCAGGGCCTGGAGGGACTGCAAGCAGCCGTTTTACCATTTAAAGGTTTTGCCCTGGGCCTGGATTACTTATTGCAACACATACATTCTTAAAAACTAATTGTTGGAAATCTCAGTTTTCTTAGGAAAAGCATTTTAAAAAATACTGGGAATTGACTTTGCACTGAGTCAGCCTTTTTAAAATTTTTGTTTTGAGGGCTGGGATTCAGCTTAGTGGTCCTAAATTTGGTCCCCAGTTTAAAAAAATTGTTTGTTTGTTTTGAAATGGTCTTGCTAAGTTGCTCAGCCTGGGCTTGAACTTGGGATCCCCCTGCCTCAGCCTCACAGAGTGCTGAGGTTACAGGTGTGCAATACTATGCCCAGCTATGGAAAACTCTTTACGATTGTTGTTATAATAATCATTACACTTTTTTTTTTCTTCCTGTGCTGGGCATCAGAAGACAAGTTGGCCCAGCCCTGCCTGGCTTGTTTTTTAGATCGCAGCTGCCAGGCTGGGAGGATGCCCAGGGCACAGGCGGAGGCCATGGGAGCTCAGGGAAGCCCTAGCTCGTGGCCGGCATGTTCGGTGACTACCCCAAGGTCACAGAGGAGTAGGGGCAGGGCTGGCATGGGTGGTCTACGGCAGTGGATGGGTTCCCCCAGTGCCCAGAGGTGTGGCCCGGCCTCTCCCAGTGAGGAAGTTGGGTGGTCGGTGGCCGGCACAGGCATGTGGCCCTTTCTGTCCCTCTCTGCTGACAGCCGTGGGGGACACTGCGGTCTCCCCAGCTTGGGCTGAGTCAACAAACATCATCAGGTGGTTGGCTTGGGGCCCCACCACCCCAGGAGCCAGCGACCAGTTTCCAGTGTGGTTCAACCTCATCTCAGCTTCGAGGAGCATCCTACACTGGAGTGAAGTGAGGAGGGGACCTGACACCCCGCCAACCTGATCCCCCTCAAACACACACGCTCCAGCAGGGCCAGGGGAGGGGAGCCCCGTGCATGCGGAGGGGCGGGGAGTACTCAGCCCACCCAAGCCTCACCCCACCGACGGAGCCACGCCTGCTGCCACTTGGCTGATTTTTTTTTTCGTTTGTGTTTTGGGGCAGAGTCTCACTATGTAGTCCAGGTTGGCTTCAAATTTGTAGTGATCCTCCTGCATCAGCCTCCTGAATACTGGGATTACAGGCATGCCCCACATAGTACCTATTTTTTTTTTCCATGGTATGGGGACTCGAATTCAGGACCTTGCGCTTGCTAGGCAGGCAGGGCGCTCCCGAACCACAGCCTGGCCCTTGTACCTAGTATTATATTACACGCATGCTCTCATCTCCCTCACAGGACATCCTTAGCAGGAGGGCCTGCCATCATCCCCATTTTACAGATGAGGAAACCGAGGCACAGTGGCTGGTCCGGTGCGCGGGTTTCCCTGCTGCACTGACCCTCTCTGTCCCTTTTCTGAGAAGCCTTTCCTGTGCCCAGGCAATGTGGTCCTTGGATGCGGGTGAGGAAGGGACCACTTACCCGGCTCTGGTGAGGGAGTGGGGACAGCTGGACAGAGGGAGGGACGCAGGGCGCTGTCCACCGAGCTGTCCAGCTCCTCCGCTGCTCCAGGCTTTATTCCCCCAGGGTCCC